GGTTTTATTATTATTATCTATATATATGTTTAGGAAGGCGTGTTGCGGCCGGTTGAGGGGGTTAATGATAAAGGTGGGTGGTAATTATCCGGATAGAGTGATATTAACCGTAAATTTGAGAGGGAGAGAGAGAGCAAAAGAGAGAGAGAGAGAGAGAGAGAGAGAGAGAGAGAGAGAGAGAGAGAGAGAGAGAGAGAGAGAGAGTGTGTTTTATGTTGTTTACAGTATAAGATGTTGCTTTACTTGTTGTATATATGTACCTGTCCTTGTAGTTGTGCATGTATCTGTATCTGTACTTGTATCAGGACCTGTACGTGTTTCTGAATTCATAGTATTGTTGGAGACTCGTACAGTACGTGACTGAGTTATGTAGCGGTCGACAACCTCTTGCTTTCTCTGTGCTGAAAGACGGACGTAATGATAATAATAATAATAATGAGTGATAGTAGTAATAAATAAATAATAATAATAATAATAATAAGTGATAGTAGTAAATAATAATAATAATAATAATAATTCACGGTTTAATAGCAAAATACAACTGGCATAAGATGAAAATATACAACAGACACAGTGATACATTTATAACATAGTGACAAGGGGGAGGGAGCCGTTTAAACTAGAACTATTTGTGAAGTTACAATATAAAGATAACACAAGGAAGAAACACAAAAAATTTTCTACGAATTTTTAGATTTTTTTTACAGTGGTTGGGATGGAGAGGTCTTGTAGTGATCAGTATTACGAGGTTTTGGGCTGAATGTTGTTGTGGTGTTAAACAGTAATTCACGGACGAGGGATCTGAGGTGGGAGCAGGAGACGGTGACGAGGATGGTGTGTAGTAGTAGGTTCGTCCCAGACTGACAGATGAGGTTAGGGTGATGATCAGAGAGAGAGAGAGAGGTGTGTGTGTGTGTGTGTGTGTGTGTGTGTGTGTGTGTGTGTGTGTGTGTGTGTGTGTGTGTGTGTGTGTGTCCTTCACAGTTTCTTCCCTATCCTCTCTGAAACCTTACCCCCCTCTACCTCAATCTCCATTATCTCCATTTTCCTCTTCTCCTCCCTTCCCTCTCCTCCCGTCTCCCCTACCCCTCCCTCCTCCTCACCCCTCCTCCTCACCCCTGCCCCCCTCCCTCACCGCCCCCCTCTCCTCCTCACCGCCCCCCTCCACTGCCCCCCCTCTCCTCCCCCTCCCCCTCCTCACCGCCCCCCTCCTCACCGCCCCCCTCCCTCACTGCCCCCTCCCTCACTGCCCCCTCCTCACCGCCCCTCTCCCTCACCGCCCCCCTCCCTCCTCCCTCCTCCTCCTCCACCGCCCCTCCCTCACCGCCCCTCTCCCTCACCGCCCCCTCTCCTCACCTCCCCCTCTCCTCACCGTCCCCCTTCCCTCACCGCCCCTCCTCACCGCCCCCCTCACCGCCCCCTCTCCCTCACTGCCCCCTCCTCACCCTCCCCCCTCCCCTCACCTCCTCACTGCCCTCCTCACTGCCCCCTCTCCCTCACCTCTCCCCCTCTCCTCACCCTCCCCTCTCCTCCTCACCTCCCCTCCTGAAGACACAGAAGTGAGAGATTACAAGTTGATGATCACAGTTGTGTAGTCTGGGGGGCGCGCGTCGCAAACTGGGTAAAAGAGGCTTCTAGTAAGACCACTTAATCTGTCCCGGGCGTTATCACGGAAGGGGTGGGTGAGTGGGTTGGAGGGTGGGTTTTGGTGGTGGGTGGGTGTGGTTATAAGTGGTGGGTTTGGGTAGGTGTAGGACTGGTGGGTGGATGGCGTAAGAGTTTAGTGTATGTGGTGGGCGCGGGTCGGTTGATAGAAGAGTGGGTGGGTGGGTGAGCTATACCAAGTCCCAACAGTGAAATATACATTCATATACATACATTAATTGTTGCTGTATACTTTGCCATTATCCGCCATACTCACGCGGCCATAGTGGTGTATTTTTTGTATTTTTATGTATTTTATATATTTTTAGTGGTATTTTATTTTCAGTTATTATTTATTTTAGGTTATTTATATTGTATTGATGTTTGTTATACAGTAGTTGTATTTTGTATTTATTTTCAAGTATCGTATGTTAGTTTTAGTTGTATTGTATTAATTATTTTCATTTTGTATTTCATTTATTATTATGTAGTGACTGTAAGGATGGTGGGTGTCGGCTCTCACAGTCTTTTAACAGTTAATAGTCACAGGTTAATTGTTAAAGTTAAAAACCATTAACCGATATTTAACACTCCCGAACGTTAATAACAGTGTCAATGTTTAATTAAGATGTCAACAAAAGCCTCGATTCTTTTGTTTTTTCGAAGTTAACGTCGGTAATTAATGTAACATACACCTGTGTTACCTGTACCTGTGATAGTTAAATGATATACTTGGAGTATTATGAACTTTTGTTATTTAGTTGTTTTTACAGTTAAGGTGATGGAGTGTATGGCTGCTGTTGTTGTGGTGGTGGTGGTGGAGTGTGTGTGTGGTGGTGTTGAGGAGTGTGTTGTTGTGGTGGAGGAGTGAGTGTGGTAGTGTGTTGATGTGTTGCAGGGAGTGTGTGTGGTGGTGTGTTGATGTGTTGCGGGCGTGTGTGGTAGTGTGTTGATGTGTTGCAGGAGTGAGTGTGGTAGTGTGTTGATGTGTTGCAGGAGTGAGTGTGGTAGTGTGTTGATGTGTTGCAGGAGTGTGTGTGGTAGTGTGTTGATGTGTTGCAGGAGTGTGTGTGGTAGTGTGTTGATGTGTTGCAGTAGTGAGTGTGGTAGTGTGTTGATGTGTTGCAGGAGTGTGTGTGGCAATGTAGTTTTATCGTCACTAATACGAAGTTACCGCCATAGTTTACCGAGATCAGCTGAGTGAAGGTTTAGTCCGCTGCTGACCACTACCTGCTGGCTTACGACTCAACCAACAGTAATCTCATCTTTTACGTCCTCCTGCTGGGGTAGCTGAAGAGGCACTACATCTCTGTTCAGTCCATGTTAGGGGGGACACTTGTATAGGTTGTTTAGTCTTTGGTTTGTGTTGAGGACCATTGATGTTGAATTGATATCTGGTTTAGTTTTATGTTAAGACGACCATCGAGAAGACGTCAATGTCCACACGGTAAGATAGTTGGTGTAAGCTGAGGATGTGGTTGTGTGGTCCGAAGATTCTATTGGCTGGAGGGTTTAATTGGGAGCGGGCGGGGGGAAAATAGTGTCTTTCTTTTTGGCAAGAACCAGGATGTAATTGTTGAGAGAGGGGGGGGGGTGGACCTCCTCCTTGGGGGACCTCCTCCAGGATGTCCGTCTTTCAATAGAAGACAGAATTACCGGATCCCTGGAGCCCACAAGACACTGGTGGCCGGCGAGCACCGTCAATGGTTGTCATTACGTTGCCACAAGTCGTCGGGATTGGTTGGGAGACGACGACGAGTTTTTTAATCCAAAGAAATCCATTTCCTCCAAAGTTTTGTATCTTGTAATTATTTTTTTCTTCGTTTTTCTATAGTGTAGATTATTGCTATACGTTATATTACAGTGAAGGAATAGAACTCGTGTCACTTCATATCTCTCTAGACTTGACAACATATCAGAACCGCAAAGTGTCTCAGTGGAAGTTCTTATGGATAGCAATAACATTAATCAGCGAGGTAAGATAACTTCAGAAGATGAGAGAGATTACACCCACCTCCAGATATCTCGGTGGATTTCTTGGAGGATTTCCTTTTAACCGCGTTGAAGACGAGGGCTGGGTAAGAGCAGCTGAGCACGGACGAGTAGGTAGCCAGCGTCTGGGCTTTTAGCAAGACATACAAGAGTTTAAGTCTTAGTCGGCGCACCAGAAATGTCAAAGCTATCTCTCTCTAATTCACCTTCCTAGAATAATGGGTTTTACGCGATAGTCTCTACCGGAAATATTCAAAGTACAGTATCACTATAATTTATCTCTATACATTGGGTACTTTTTATCACCACTATGTACTGCAGCATAATACATTAACACCACTTCTTATTGCACCATACTATGTAACACCATAATGTACTGCACCATAATAGTATGTCTTAGCAATTACAGTAACATAATATACGGTACATAAAATGATATAAACGAGGTAATTAATGACTATAAAGGTATTTTGAAAGATATAAAGGTGTCAACGTTCTTCCCTGGGCTGACTGACAGACATACTAACAGAAATACCCACTGACAAATACACTCACTGACAGACACTCACTGACAGACACTCACTGACAGACGCTCACTGACAGACACTCACTGACAGACGCTCACTGACAGACACCCACTGACAGATGCACCCACTGACAGACACACTCACTGACAGACACACTCACTGACAGACACCCACTGACAGACACACTCACTGACAGATGCACCCACTGAGAACACACCCACTGACAGACACACCCGCTAACAGACGCACCCACTGACAGACACACCCAGACACACCCACTGACAGACACACCCACTGACAGACACACCCACTGACAGACACACCCACTGACAGACGCACCCACTGACAGACACACCCACTGACAGACACACCCACTGACAGACACACCCACTCACAAACACGTCAGTTACAATACCCTCACTTTAATGAGACACGGACACAAAACTGTATACATTTTCTGCCAGATGGGAAGACTGTGGTGTAGAGAGGGTGACGCATTGGCTGGGTGTAGCTGTAAGTACACACACACACACACACACACACACACACACACACACAGGAGAGCGGGGATAGGAAAAAGTCGGAAAAACGGCCGCAAGTTTGGCTGGTTCTCCGCAGGACAGCAGCTGGCCCAAGGCTCTACTGGACCCCAACGAGTTCAAACCATGAAATTGGTCCGTGATAAAATTACAAAGACGCCTATTGTTCCAGACCATTTTTTGTCGGTCGTCGGCTGGGTGAGACGGTCTTGGTCCCCTTATTGGTCTTTCTTCAGGGTGGTGGGCAGGTCTGGGTGTTGGTCTTAGTAAGTCTAGGGAATTCTGGGTAAGCCGGGATCTAGAGGGATCTGGGTAGGTCTATGAGGGCCTGGGGAGGTCTATGAGGGCCTGGGGGGTCTGGAGAGGCCTTTGTGGGGCCTGGGGAGGTCTGTGGGGGTCTGGGGAGGTCTATGAGGCTTGGAGGTCTGTGAGGCCTGGGGAGGTCTATGAGGGGCCTGGGGGGTCTGGAGGGTCTTTGTGGGGCCTGGGGAGGTCTGTGGGGTGTCTGGGGAGGTCTATGAGGGCCTGGGGAGGTCTGTGAGGGTCTGGGGCGTCTAGGGGAGATCTGTGGGGGTCTGGGGAGGTCTTTGGGGGTCTGGGGAGGTCTTTGGGGGCCTGGGGAGGTCTGTGGGGACCTGGGGGAGGTCTGTGGGGGGTCTAGGGAGGCCTGTGAGAGGTCTGGGGAGTCTTTGGAAGGCCTGGGAGGTCTTTGGGGTCTGGGGAGGTCTTTGGGGGCCTGGGGAGGTCTTTGGAGGGCCTGGGGAGGTCTGTAAGGGGTCTGAGGAGATCTTTGGGGAGGTCTGGGGAGGTCTTTTGGGGCCTGGGGAGGTCTGTGAGGGGTCTGAGGAGATCTTTGGGAGCCTGGGGTGGATTAAATGGGTCTTGGGAGGTCTGTGTGTTTGTTGGTTGGTATAGTGGTGATTGGGATAGGTGGATATATGGCTGGGATAGATAAAAAGTTAGCTGGGATAGGCAAAACATAACTGGGATAGATAAAAAGTTAGCTGGGATAGGCAAAACATAACTGGGATAGATAAAAAGTTAGCTGGGATAGGCAAAACATAACTGGGATAGATAAAAGTTAGCTGGGATAGGCAAAACATAACTGGGATAGATAAAAGTTAGCTGGGATAGGCAAAACATAACTGGGATAGATAAAAGCTAGCTGGGATATGTGAAAAGCCAGTTACCGTATCTTGATTAAATTTGGTATGCAGATCCTGGTAGGCGTAGAGGTGTACACATGGATTTCTCGCCACTACTGCATACCACAGATATTGAGGGTTAACTTTGGCATCTCTGAACCTTTGGAACATCTGAATCTTTGGAACCTCTGAATCTTTGGAACCTCTGAATCTTTGGAACCTCTGAATTTTTGGAACCTTGAACTTTGGTACATCTGAGCCTTTGGAACCCCTGAATCTTTGGAACGTCTGAACCTTGGTACATCTGAGCCTTTTGAACCCCTGAATCTTTGGAACGTCTGAACCTTTGGTACATCTGAGCCTTTGGAATCTCTGAGCATCTGGAACCTCTGAGGCTTTGGAACCTCTGAACCTTTGGAATCCCTGAGCCTTTGGAACATCTGAGCATTTGGAACTTCAACGTTTGGAACCTTAGCCTTTGGAACATTTGAACATTTGGAACCTCTGAGCCTTTGGAACCCCTGAACATATGGAACCTCTGAGCATTTGGAACCTTACCCTTTGGTACCTCGGAGCCTTTGGAACCTCGGAGCATTTGGGACCTCTGAGCCTTTAGAACATCTGAACTTTTGGAACCTCTGAGCCTTTGGAACATCTGAGCCTTTGGAACGTCTGAGCCTTTGGAACATCTGAGCCCTTGGAACCCTTAGCAACCACAAGCTAACAGCACCATTAACCTTAGCTGAAAATACAACTAACTACTCTGTGCTAGTCAATTAACATACGACCATTCGCTCGTTCATTATCATGCCTTGTTTATTGCGCCATAATTAATGTGATCTTAATGGCGCCACTGGAGATATACTGACTTAAATGTGTACAAGCGGCCCCGTGTCCCAACAGGCGCTGTCACTTCAGTCCTTGGAATATGGTGTGTCCTAGGAACGTGGTATGTCCTAGGGATGTGGTATGTCCTAGGGATGTGGTATGTCCTAGGAATGTGGTATGTCCTAGGAACGCTGTATGTCCTAGGAATGTGGTTTGTCCTAGGGATGTGGTATGTCCTAGGAATGTGGTATGTCCTAGGAATGTGGTATGTCCTAGGGATGTGGTATGTCCTAGGAATGTGGTATGTCCTAGGAACGCTGTATGTCCTAGGAATGTGGTTTGTCCTAGGGATGTGGTATGTCCTAGGAACGTGGTATGTCCTAGGAACGTGGTATGTCCTAGGAATGTGGTATGTCCTAGGAATGTGGTATGTCCTAGGAATGTGGTATGTCCTAGGGATGTGGTATGTCCTAGGGATGTGGTATGTCCTAAGAATGTGGTATGTCCTAGGAATGTGGTATGTCCTAGGAATGTGGTATGTCCCTGAATGTATGTCTGAATGTGGTATGTCTGGGGTGTGGTATGTCTAGGAATATGTGGTATATCTAAGATGTGGTATGTCCTAGGGGTGTGGTATGTCTAGGGTGGTATGTCCTAGGAATGTGGTATGTCCTAGGAACGTGGTATCCCTAGAATGTGGTATGTCTAGAGGTATGTGAATGTGATGTGTCCTAGGAACGTGGTTTGTCCTAGGGATGTGGTATGTCCTAGGAACGTGGTATGTCCTAGGAATGTGGTATGTTCTAGGAATGTGGTGTGTCCTAGGAACGTCGCATGTCCTAGGAATGTGATGTGTCCTAGGAATGTGGTTTGTCCTAGGGATGTGGTATGTCCTAGGAATGTGGTATGTTCTAGGAATGTGGTATGTCCTAGGAATGTGGTGTGTCCTAGGAATGTGGTGTGTCCTAGGGATGTGGTATGTCCTAGGAACGTGGTATGTCCTAGGAATGTGGAATGTCCTAGGAATGTGGCATGTCCTAGGAATGTGATGTGTCCTAGGAACGTGGTTTGTCCTAGGGATGTGGTATGTCCTCGGAACGTGGTATGTCCTAGGAATGTGGTATGTTCTAGGAATGTGGTGTGTCCTAGGAACGTCGCATGTCCTAGGAATGTGATGTGTCCTAGGAATGTGGTATGTCCTAGGGATGTGGTATGTCCTAGGAATGTGGCATGTCCTAGGAATGTGATGTGTCCTAGGAATGTGATGTGTCCTAGGAATGTGGTTTGTCCTAGGGATGTGGTATGTCCTAGGAATGTGGTATGTTCTAGGAATGTGGTATGTCCTAGGAACGTGGTATGTACTAGGAACGTGGTATGTCCTAGGAACGTTTTATGTCCTAGGAATGTGGTATGTCCCAGGAATAGGAACGTTGTATGTCCTAGGAACGTTGTATGTCCTAGGAATGTGGTATGTCCCAGGAATGTGGTATGTCCTAGGGATGTGGTATGTCCTAGGAATGTGATGTGTCCTAGGAACGTGGTTTGTCCTAGGGATGTGGTATGTTCTAGGAATGTGGTATGTCCTAGGAACGTGGTATGTACTAGGAACGTGGTATGTCCTAGGAACGTTGTATGTCCTAGGAATGTGGTATGTCCCAGGAATGTGGTATGTTCTAGGAACGTTGTATGTCCTAGGAACGTTGTATGTCCTAGGAACGTTGTATGTCCTAGGAATGTGGTATGTACTAGGAATATAGTATGTGCTAGGAATGTGGTATGTCCCAGGAATGTGGTATGTACTAGGAATATAGTATGTGCTAGGAATGTGGTATGTCCTAGGAATGTGGTATGTACTAGGAATATAGTATGTGCTAGGAATGTGGTATGTCCTAGGAATGTCCTAGGAATGTAGTATGTCCTAGGAATATAGTATGTCCTAGGAATGTGGTATGTCCCAGGAATGTGGTATGTACTAGGAATATAGTATGTGCTAGGAATGTGGTATGTCCTAGGAATGTCCTAGGAACGTGGTATGTCCTAGGAGCGTAGTATATCTGTCCTAGGGACATATCTCAGCCTAGGTATTATATAAGTTTTTCTTTTGTCTCTGGTGTTCATGACCTAACCTAACCACTTACCTCCCTACTTACCTAACCACTTACCTACCTACTACCTACTTACCTAACCTAACCACTTACCTAACCTGACCTACCTTGCCCACTTACCTATACCTACCTACCCTGCCCTGCCCTACCTACCTACCTACCTACCTACCTACCTACCTACCTACCTACCTACCTACCTACCTACCTACCTACCTACCTACCTACCTACCTACTTAACCTAACCTAACCTAACTGCTGCGATTCATTGTGATTGGAGCTCATTAAAACTGGACCCCCCAGTGGTAAGAGGTTAGGTTGGGTCCACGTGCTCTGTTGTCTAGAGTGGTTAATCCTTCTGAGCTGAATAAAATCGTTTGGCGTTACCTAAATGAAATACTAAAAGTGGAGTCCCCGTAGTGAAGGGGTTAAGGTAAGGATCACACAGAGGCAAAGATCACACAGAGGTAAGGATCACACGCAGGTAAGGATCACACGCAGGTAAGGATCACACGCAGGTAAGGATCACACGCAGGTAAGGATCACACGCAGGTAAGGATCACACGCAGGTGAAGATCATATGCAGATAAGGATCACACAGGAAAGAATCACACAGGTAAGAGAACACGTTGGTTTTACGTTGCCTTCCACCACCTGATCCTCGCTGTGTGTGTGAATAAATGAACCGAGTCCACGACATACCTGTGAGGGAGTGAGACTAAACTCTCTATGCAGTATTAGTATCCATAACTACCATTCAACCTATACACTATAAAACCACGTTAATTACCCCTCACCTGGTAAATAAAACCACGTTAATTACTCCTCACCTGGTAATTAGTGAGGTGGGACAGGTAACCTTCGCTTCACAGGCTGGTGTTGAGTGTGTCAGAGGCGTCCACAGGTATGATATTTACTTTAGGTTGCCTCTGTAAACATGATCAGCCCTCCACTCACCCCCCACCACCACCACCCCCCCGGACTGTGTATATACGTCTGTGTATTGGCATGGTGTATTTCTTCCTGATTGTTGTGGGTAATTAAAAAGTGATTTATATGAGTCGCAGGTGAGTTATGGGAACAGGTGTGAGGTATACAAACAAGTGAGTTATTAATTACAGAACGTTTGGGAGTTATAAATAATAATTAGGGTGTCGGAGGGGGATGGGTCATGCGTTGATTAATATGGCAAAGCTTTTTTATCGAGTTTATAGAGATGACCTGAAGATTAGGCACCCCAACTTATTTGACATGGTGAGATACTCTAACTTATTTCACATGGAGATTAATCACCCCCATAACTAACCCCTCCTGATAGTGTTAGGGTGGTTAATGATAAGGTGAAATAAGCTGGGGTGGTTAATGTTATGGTGAAATGAGCTGGGGTGGTTAATGTTAAGTTGAAATGAGCTGGGGTGGTTAATGTTATGGTGAAATAAGCTGGGGTGGTTAATGATAAGGTGAAATAAGCTGGGGTGGTTAATGTTAAGGTGAAATGAGTTGGGGTGGTTAATGTTAAGGTGAAATGAGCTGGGGTGGTTAATGTTATGGTGAAATAAGCTGGGGTAGTTAATGTTAAGGTGAAATAAGCTGGGGTGGTTAATGTTAAGGTGAAATAAGCTGGGGTGGTTAATGTTAAGGTGAAATAAGCTGGGTGGTTGACCACGTGATCCTAAGATGATAATTTTGTCACATCATTAGAGTGTAAGACTGTTTATCCGTCAACTTTTAAATGACAAGTCACTAACCAATATCTGACCTGTTTGCAAACTTTTTAAGACGAGACATAGGTTAGCTTAGGTTAGGTTAGGTTAGGTTAAGTTAGGTTAGGTTAGGTTATATTGGGTTAGGTTAGGTTAGGTTAGGTTAGGTTTGAGTAAGTACCAGTAGTGAGAACCGAATTGTTGTCAAAACCTCCCCAGTTGTCTCCCATATATCCAGACCACAGGGGGAGATTCACCTCTTGTTTCTCAACCTGTGTGTGTGTGTGTGTGTGTGTGTGTGGACCACGTGACACACACACACACACCCTGGGTTGGCTCGTAAATTCTTTGGTGTATTGGGGGGGGGGATTAGTTTACACACACACACACACACACACGCACGGGTCCAGCTGCTGGGTGTGAACTGGAATACACCTTCAAAGTGGAGGGCGGAGGTGGGTGTTGGTCCGCTAGACTGGACGGTAATGGTGAAAGGTTGGCACATTTCCTGAAGAAGGTTTTCCTCGCCGCTGTTTAGGAGACGACCGCTAGAGGGATTTGTTTATTTCCGTTTTCCATGTGTGTGTGTGTGTGTGTGTGTGTGTGTGTTTGTGTTTTATTTATATGTTTGTCGTTGTTTTTATATCCGTTTTGTTTTATTTTTTCTTGTTCACTTGTTTGGTTATTTTTGTCGTGGATTTTTTTTTTATTTGTTATATTTCATGGACTCCCTTTAAGACTGACTGACTGACTGACTGACTGACTGACTGACTGACTGACTTGTTTCACCCTTGAGTCCACCTAATGATCAGTCCTCTTCACTGCTCCCACTCTGTGTAATAAACCAGCCAGATTACCTTCTTCCAAGCTGTGTGGATTTCTCTCCCCTATATATCCTCCTTCTCCCCTCTCCTTCCCATTTCCTTCCCAGGATCCTGTCCTCCCCATCCTCCTTCCTCCCCATCCTCCCCCTCCTCCTCCCTCCCTCCCTCCCTCACCCCCCCCAATCCAGTCCCTCATTTTTTTGGGTAGAGAAAGAGGAGATGAAAGAAGATTAGAGGAGGAAGGGGGTTAATAGTTCGGAAATTGAAAAGTGCTAAAGGAGGCAGACTGGCCGCCTTGCTACTGACTACCTAACCTAATAGTGTGGCGTTCTTATGTATTGGGGCTGGTTATTGTAGGTAATTTAGAACCATTTGTCTGGTTACCTGCCCGTTTTGTCGGCACTGGCACTAGACCACCTGTCTTAGCCCATATTTAGTGGTTCTTAAGGCTATATTCCTTATCCCACCGACCTTGATGCTGGTCTAGTGAGGTCGTCTATTGTCTGGCTGTGAAGAACGGGGGCGGTGATGGACTCCCTGAGGTTTGGTAACTTTTGAGGAACCATCTGTGGCTGTTGTCATTATCTGGCGGGAGTCTCTGTAGGAGTTGTGGCTCGGGTCGTTCTAATTGTTGTCATATTCCTGTGGCCAAGGTGTGTAGCTGTTGGTTGATGGGTCTGTGTGTGTAGCCACCAGGTTTGTTAGAGAGGTGCTCACCTGTGGCTCCTGTTATAGAGGCAATTTTCACCGTGGTTCTATGTTAGAGAGGCGCCTCCTTCACCTGTGGTCTCTGTTATATAGCGTTCTTCACCTGTGGTTCTAGGGCGTCTTTCACCTGTAATTTGTTATAGAGGTGTCTTTCACCTGTGGTTCTAGGGCGTCTTTCACCCTGTGGTTCTGTTATAGGGGAATCTTTCACCTGTGGTTCTATCATAGGGGCGTCTTTCACCTGTGGTTCTGTTTTATGGGCGTCTTTCACCTGCGGTTCTCGGGCGTCTTTCACCTGTGGTTCTGTTTTAGGGGCGTCTTTCACCTGTGGTTCTGTTTTAGGGGCGTCTTTCACCTGTGGTTCTAGGGCGTCATTCACCTATGGTTCTCGGGCGTCTTTCACCTGTGACGAATTTCAGAGCATCGTTCTGGACCTCCTGTAGTGATGATACCCGGGAGGTGCTCAGAGCGTGGAGAAGGACTGAACTCTTGGGTAGGTTAATATCGCTACAATGAATGATGTGACCTGACGTATAGTTATAAACCTCTACTTCTTTAGTTAACAATCCCCCTCCCCTGCCACACCCCATCTCCCCCCACTCCACACACCTGCCCTCTCTCCCACTCCACACTCAGTTCTTCTCCCCACTCCACACACCTGCCCTTCTCTCCCCCTCTCCCACACCTGCCCTCTTCTCACCCAACCCCATACCTCCCCTCCCCTCCTCACCTCTCTCCCAACCCCACCCAACACTTAATCTCACCCACCGCCAGCTCTCTCCCTAACCTCTACACCTACCCCACCTCTAACTCCCCACCACAACACTTTATCTCCCCACCTCCCACCCCTCTCCCCCACACCTGCCCTCCTCAAGGCTTCACAGCAGGTTCGTCTTGGCACAGCTGTGGAATTCGTGGTTGAAGGGAAATATATAACTGTGGCGGCCTCTGTGTGAACGTTTGACGCCCCTCACTGAGTATAACACCAAAACTATAGTGTAGAGGAAATAGTTTTGGTGTACAAGACGAACCGGCCTCTTAGTGTGTGTGTGTGTGGGGGGGGGGGGATTTATTTGCGGTACATAATATGATATAGGTATATTAAGTCAGTATACATGTTTCCACAACAGTAACCTAACCTAACCTAACCTAACCTAGCCTGTGTGTGTTATCGTAGATTATCTTAGAATTATATAACAGCGTATCACCAACCACACAACCTCTCCCATCTCCAGCTCCGTTCCTGCAATAATAAAAAAAGAAGGAAAAGGTTTGGCGATGAGAGGCAGGTCGGTGGGCGATGATTTGGAAATAGCCCGGGGAGCCTTGGTGTCAATATCGCTGTGTTGACGGTGTGTTGAGAGACCCACCCGCCCGCCACTACACTCCTCCCTCCCTCCTTGCGTCTTCCCACACTCACTTGTTTTTCTTCCTCCTGTCTCCACACTACTATTTTCTTCTCGTTTTTTCCCTGTTTTTAGAGCTCTTATGATAGTGTTTTATTTGTTTTGTTCTTGTTGCGTTTTTTCCCCCCGTGGGTATGTGGAGATTTTTCACAAAGATTTTTTTTTTATGTATTTTATCGTGTCTTCCAGTATATGATTTTTTTGGGGTCAATATATGTTTTAAGAATATTTATTATCTGTGTATTTTAATTTATTTCGTCTGTGTTTAATTTGGAGTCGGGTTTTTTTTTTCTTTAATATTTGACGGAGTGATTTGTTTTAGCGCCGTACCATCCGTCTCCCCTCCCCACCCGGCGTTACGATGGGATTGTTCTGTAATTTTAAGTAATAATCTATCTCCCTTTCTTCCCCTTCATTATATTCTATTGTTAATTTTATTTTTGGAAATGTTGTCAGACGTGTGTTCATAATAAGAGCTCGGGGCTGACGGCCGACTGCTGATTTTCAACGTGTTATGATAACGGCTTACCGACCCTCAGCTCAAGAGGGATGATATCAGCTGGATCTAGTTTTTTGTTTGTATTGAATTTGGTTGTGTTTATTGTTGTATTTATGTCCTGGGATATGAAAGATTATTGAATGGAATTGTTGTTAAAGAAAATCGCTTTAGATGAATAGATTGAAGAGGAATTTGAGTCATGAAGCGTTACCGCCTCCTCCCACTGTTGCCACTATGTACAAGTATAATAACGGGAGGAGGATTGACCGTGAAACATTATTAAATTACCGTTTTATTTCTTCTTATTTTATGTATATTTTGAAATTTAATCACTTATCTTTTTATGAATAAGAAAATTTTCACATATATTGAAGTTTAGGGGGGTGAATGTCACGCCACAAACGTGTATTTTGTCGAATTCTTCCGCCGTCACTTACACCGGGAACATTCTAAGTATGTATATTAGTTTCACGTGTCACAGCTGTCATTCATAGTAATGTGATGTAATTGTAGGTGGAAGGTCATGTTACGTGTAGCTATGAATGTTTCTCGTGCATGGTAGTGTTGGGTGTCATGCGTGATACAGTGTTGGGTGTCATGCATGATACAGTGTTGGGTGTCATGCATGATACAGTGTTGGGTGTCTTGCATGATACAGTGTTAGTGCCGTATGATATAGTATAGTGTCATGCATGATACAGTGTTGCGTCATGCATGATACAGTAGTTGCGTCATGCACATACAGTGTTGGGTGTCATGCATGATAGTAGTTGCGTCATGCATGATACAGTGTTAAAAGTGCTGCGTATGATACAGGTGCTGCGTCATGCATGATACAGTGTTGGGTGTCATGCATGATATTGTTAGTGTCATGCATGATACAATGTTAAAAGCCGCCACGATAAGAAAAGGTGTGGCTATGCATGATATTGGAAAAGTTAAAGTACGTATGGAGAAAGAAAAGTTAAAGGTCATGATGAGAAAAGTTAAATATGATACAGTGTTGGGTGTCATGCACTGTACCGGTATATGTTAGGTGTTGGTACAATTAATTATTAACACCTTTTATTTCGTCTTATGCCAAGTTGTCAGTCGTGGAATTGCTGTGTTCGCAGGAGGATATTTTATTTACTTACGTGTGTGTGTGTGTGTGTGTGTGATTACCTGCACGTGGGATTTTGGGTTAGCGGAGGGTGAAAGAGTGGGGGCCCCCATATGGAAGCTACGCCACACGAAGGTGCGCCTGTGGTGGCGTTGCCCTGTTGTGAATGAACCACTGGGGCGAGGCTGAGTACACAACACACTTGAGAATTATTGACTCTTCCCTTATATGGGTTAAAAGAACATTATCTACTAATGGCGACTCGGTACAAGTGTGTCATATTGAGTGTTTACTGGTACTGTAGCTTAAGTGCGTCTGTTGGGTGTTTACTGGTAGTGTCGCGTAAGTGCGTCTGTTGAGTGTTTACTGGTAGTGTCGCGTAAGTGTATGTGTTGAGTGTTTACTGGTAGTGTATGGGTATGAGGAGGGTGTGCAGTGGAGGGTGTATGAGATTAGGGTGTAGAGGGGAGGGTGTATAGTGGAGTGCAAGGTGTACAGGCGAGGGTGTACAGGGCAGGGTGCACTGTGCAGTGTATATGGAGGCACCAGCTGAGCACTGGTGTGTGTGTGTGTGGGAAGGGTGACGTGTTGAGGATCACTTACCTGTAAATAATGTACATCTTACCTTGTCCCTTAACCTCTACTCTTCATTATTTAGGTGTTTAATATTATGACCTTCTATTAAATTACCTTCCATTAAACTGACTTAGGTGGGGTAGTAGTTCTTTACGAGGGATTATCACGGACGGGGGTTTAATCTATTGCTACGCTGACCTCTATGGGGGGAAGAAGGCCACGCTGATGCAAGCTTAATAGAATATGAAAAGTGGCGTCCCAGTTGTGAAGGAGCTTAATGATCTAGTTTTTATTTTTATTTTATCATAAATATAATAAAAGACTCATAATCGTTTAAAAAAAAGTGGCGTAAATGAGGCAAAAAAAATTAAAGGTGGAAAACTTTGAAGAATTTATAATAGAGAGCCAAGTGTTTCCAGTAACTCAGGTGACCAGTAGAGGTTAATTATACCTGAATGACGGTGTTGAAATATTGTATACCTCTCCACCTCTCCTCCCCTCCTCGTCCCCCTTCTCCTCATTCCCCTCCTCCTCATTCCCCTTCTCCTCATTCCCTCCTCCTCGTTCCCCTCCTCCTCATTCCCCTCCTCCTCATCCCTCCTCCTCATCCCCCCCAGTCTGTTTCCAGGTGTACATTGTTATTACCACTAATTGTTTGTTTAATTGAACACGTGTAGCAGGTGTGTTGTGGATAGTGTCTCGGTTAGGTGACGTGTGTGGTGGTGGTGAGACCCATCAGTACAGCTGGTCTCTATTACTCACAGGTGGGAACACAATTTGGCCTGTGTTTCACCTGCTCATTAAACACCCGAAGGACTTAATAACCTTACCTGTACAGCTAGACCCACGATAATGGCAGCTACAACAATATTATTATTTCCAGTTTGGGTTTTAAAATTAAACTACGATTGTTATAACGAATATCAGAGTATTATTGAGTTTTTTTAATGATTGTAGCTTTGATTATAAAATATTCCTTGATAATGGGACAAAAACGCCACACAAATGAGGTTAAAATGAGATAGGTAAGTGTATAAACTCACAGGAAACGGCTCAGACAACAAGACTATTACCCACACTTACTGTATTCTTGTTCGTCTCTTCATCTAACATGCACGACTGTATACAGGGTGAAGCCTCAACACCCACACTGCTTCACAACGACGTGTGTATCGGTTCAGTGTGAGTCGTCAGTGTCACTTTTGTTAACATCATCACGTATAAAACAATTCTCCTGTGTATTATTGATTATCTTTGTTTGTTTTTTGCCGAATTTTGTCCTGTCGATGGATTTTTTTTTTTTTTTTACACAATTTAAGATTTTTTTTGTGTATCGTCTAAACTCAACCAATTTTTTTTTGCGATATTATTAGTTAAGAAAAGTTGGTATTAGTTGATTGGTCGGTAAGAAAAGCTAGTCATAGTTGATTGGTCGGTAAGAAAAGTTAGTCATAGTTGATTGGTTGGTAAGAAAAGTTAGTCATAGTTGATTGGTTGGTAAGAAAAGTTAGTCATAGTTGATTGGTTGGTAAGAAAAGTTAGTCATAGTTGATTGGTTGGTAAGAAAAGTTAGTCATAGTTGATTGGTTTGTAAGCAAAGTTAGTCATAGTTGATTGGTTGGTAAGAAAAGCTAGTCATAGTTGATTGGTTGGTAAGAAAAGTTAGTCATAGTTGATTGGTTGGTAAGAAGAGTTAGTCATAGTTGATTGGTTGGTAAGAAAAGTTAGTCATAGTTGATTGGTTGGTAAGAAAAGCTAGTCATAGTTGATTGGTTGGTAAGAAAAGTTAGTCATAGTTGATTGGTTGGTAATAAAAGCTAGTCATAGTTGATTGGTTGGTAAGAAAGTTAGTCATAGTTGATTGGTTGGTAAGAAAAGCTAGTCACAGTTGATTGGTTGGTAAGAAAAGTTAGTCATAGTTGATTGGTTGGTAAGAAAAGCTAGTCATAGTTGATTGTTGGTAAGAAAGCTATCATAGTTGATTGGCATAGTTGATTGGTTGGTAAGAAAAGTTAGTCATAGTTGATTGGTTGGTAAGAAAAGTTAGTCATAGTTGATTGGTTGGTAAGAAAAGTAGTATAGTGATTGGTTGGTAGAAAAGTTGTCATAGTTGATTGGTTGGTAAAAAAGTTAGGTCATAGTTGATTGGTTGGTAAGAAAAGTTAGTCATAGTTGATTGGTTGGTAAGAAAAGTTAGTCATAGTTGATTGGTTGGTAATAAAAGTTAGTCATAGTTGATTGGTTGGTAAGAAAAGTTAGTCATAGTTGATTGGTTGGTAAGAAAATTAGGTTGATTTGTTGGTAAGAAAAGTTAGTCATAGTTGAAGAAAAGTTAGTCATAGTTGATTGGTTGGTAAGAAAAGTTAGTCATAGTTGATTGGTTGGTAAGAAAAGTTAGTCATAGTTGATTGGTTGGTAAGAAAAGTTAGTCATAGTTGATTGGTTGGTAAGAAAAGTTAGTCATAGTTGATTGGTTGGTAAGAAAAGCTAGTCATAGTTGATTGGTTGGTAAGAAAAGTTCGTCATAGTTGATTGGTTGATAATAAAAGTTAGTCATAGTTGATTGGTTGGTAAGAAAAGTTAGTCATAGTTGATTGGTTGGTAAGAAAAGCTAGTCATAGTTGATTGGTTGGTAAGAAAAGCTAGTCATAGTTGATTGGTTGGTAAGAAAAGTTAGTCATAGTTGATTGGTTGGTAAGAAAAGTTAGTCATAGTTGATTGGTTGGTAAGAAAAGTTAGTCCTAGTTGATTGGTTGGTAATAAAAGCTAGTCATAGTTGATTGGTCACTAGTTACGTGCATCGCTCCGTCACGTCGCCAAATTCCCAACTTTTTATTTATTTATTTTTGTTTTGTACATTAGAAAGTCTTTAAGGTTATTTCCTCTTGTATAATTTATGGATGTATAATCATGTTTATTAATTCTTCTCTAAATGAATAACTTGTTTGTATGTGTCTTAACAATGCCGTTACTGGATTCATTCAGTATTATTGTGCTTTGAGTAACAACAGTTTAATTATTTTTATGTCGCTTTCGTCTGTCTGTCTGTCTGTCTCTGTCTCGGCGTCTGTACTTCGTCCCTTCCTAATCTTTATCTGTTTTTCTGTACGTTTGCTTCTGTTTCTCCTCTTCTCTCTCTCTGTCTCCTCCCCTTACTGCTTATTATTATTTTCCCTGTCTGTTTCCAGTAGGTGTGCGTGTCTCTCTGTCTGTCTGTTGGTCTGGACAGGGATAGTGTGTTTGGGTCATCTAGATGCTGATTGGTCACTTACGTGGTGGTAGTGATGGTCATCTCGATGCTGATTGGTCACTTACTACGTGGTGGGGGTTATCTAGATGCTGATTGGTCACTTAACTACTTGGTGAGGTTGGGCATCCGGGTGCTGACTGACTACTTACAATTCTGCACCACTCTGGCTGGACCCTACAACAAAGACTGGCTGACTGGTTGGTTGGCTGACTGGCTGGCTGGCTGACTGGCTGAGGGGTTGGTTGTGACTGACTGACTGGCTAGATAGCTAAACCAAAGACCTCCTGACCGAGTGAACCAAAGACCGACTGCTTCGTTAAAGGTTTCGTTGGTGCTCGGTTGTGTGGCTTGTGTTGATATGAGGCTGCACCGTGGTCATTGTTTGGGCTGCTACCTCCCCCCCCCTCCCACTTCCCTCCCTCCCCTCCCAACCCCTCCCTCCCCTCCCAACCCTTCCCCTCCCTCCCGTGATCGGCTTGTGGTGCAGCCTATTGTTTGACCAAGCATATCCTTCACTCACTCACTCACTGGCGGCAGATTTTCGTGAACATATTTTCCTAGGAATTTTTTTTTCTGAGGTGAGTAAATCTGGCGTGAGTAATGATGGATGAGTCAGATTATGGAGTAAAGGAGGTTATGGAGTGTGAGTAAAGAGAGATAGTGTGAGTAAGAGAGATAGTGTGAGTAAGAGAGATAGTGTGAGTAAGAGAGATAGTGTGAGTAAGAGAGATAGTGTGAGTAAAGAGAGATAGTGTGAGTAAGAGAGATAGTGTGAGTAAGAGAGATAGTGTGAGTAAGAGAGATAGTGTATAAGAGAGAGATAGTGTGAGTAAGAGAGATAGTGTGAGTAAGAGATAGTGTAAGAGAGATAGTGTGAGAAGAGAGATAGAGTAAAGAGAGATAGTGTGAGTAAGTAGAGATAGTGTAAGAGAGATAGTGAGTAAGAGAGATAGTGAGTAAAGAGAGATAGTGAGTAAAGAGAGAGATAGTGGAGTAAGAGAGATAGTGTGAGTAAGAGAGATAGTGTGAGTAAGAGAGATAGTGTGAGTAAGAGATAGTGTGAGTAAGAGAGATAGTGTGAGTAAGAGAGATAGTGTGAGTAAGAGAGTAAGAGAGATAGTGTGAGTAAGAGAGATAGTGTGAGTAAGAGAGATAGTGTGAGTAAGAGAGATAGTGTGAGTAAAGAGAGATAGTGTGAGTAAGAGAGATAGTGTGAGTAAGAGAGATAGTGTGAGTAAGAGAGATAGTGTGAGTAAGAGAGATAGTGTGAGTAAGAAAGATAGTGTAAGAGAGATAATGTGAGTAAGAGAGATAGTGTGAGTAAAGAGAGATAGTGTGAGTAAGAGAGATAGTGTTGAGATAGCCAATTTTAAACCCAGTAAAAATAGGGAACGCAATTTTAGCTTTTCTCAAGTGACAACCAATTTTACGCCCAGGAAAAAAAAGAGGAAAACCAATTTTAGCTTTTCCTTCAAGACGAGCTATTACTTGTTGGGGAGATCAAGGTTAGAGTATCACTCGAAGGAAATTATATATGGAGTAACGGTGTCAGCAGCTGGTGGTGTGAGACAGTACGTCGTGCGTATTGGAATTCCACCTGTAAACCACCTGGGGAATTCGGAGTCCTCAGCTGGCTTTCCCTGCATGCCTGGTCTCTCGCCTCCCCTTCCTCCTGTCCTCTGTCTCTCTCTGGTCACCCTAACTCCCCCCCCCCCCTTTCCAGGTCTTCCCCCCCCCTCCTCCCTTGTAACCCCCATACTTGGTCACCTCTTCCCTGGTCGCCCCCTTTCCCCAGGTCACCCCCTCTCCCCCTGGTCACCCCCCTCTCACTCCCTAGTCACCCCCCCCTTTCCCCCCTGGTGCCCCTCTCCCCCCTAGTCTCGCCCCCTCCTCCCCTGGTCTCCCCCTGATCGCCCCCCCCCTGTCCCCCTAGTCGCCCCCTCTCCTCCCTGGTCACCCCCCTCCCCCTGGTCACCCCTCCCCCCTAGTCACCCCCTCTCCCCCTTCATTATGTGCTACTGTAATGTTATTAATGATGATAATAATACTAATGGGAATAATTCGGATAATTCTTTACCTATTGTTAACCCTGATAACTATAGTAATAATAATAACACTATACCCATTACTGTCACTATATAGGTTGTGGGAAGCTTGAAAGATTTAGGTCATGGTGGGGTTAGGTTAAAGTTAGTTGTTTGTGTGAGGTTAAAGGTTGTTAGTGCATGTATGTCATGTGTAGGTTTGTGATGTCATATTTCTAGAGGATTTTTATCTGCGTCCGCACCTCTATGAATGCTTCCCCTGACTGACTGACCCACTTAGAGAATTTTTTGCTTCTTCGCCCTCAGCACGTTCTCGTTATGGTCTCCTCACTGCACCCTCGGCTCGTGAAACAATTACTCGCCATTGTGGTGAAGAATTTGGCATTTATTGGTTGTATATTGAACATTTTCTTTGTTAATTTGGTCTCGCCACATTGGTTGAGACTAGGTGTTGAGTCTTACCTCATTGGCTTATACAAGGTGTTGAGTCTTACCTCATTGGCTGAGACAAGGTGCTGGGGTCTCACCTCATTGGCTGAGACAAGGTGCTGGGGTCTCACCTCATTGGCTGAGACAAAGATAGCTAAGTTTTGAGCACCTTTGTTTATTGTTAGTGTGACGGCGCCCAGCTAGCCTCGTACATCTTACCTGTGTACAAAGAGTGATCCTGCCCGCTATGTCTCGCCTCCTCCACCCTGGACAAAGGATCGGATCCTCCTCGCCACACGGGTACAGGAGTTAATACCACGTATCTATATGGCGTGTGAGGTCCTGCCGCCCCTCCCTCCCTGATAAACCTTATGTATAGAAGGTCTGAT